CATATCAAACAATTGCCTCAGAGAAACATTCATTCGTTTGCCAAACTTTTGCTGACTATATATGGTAATCTTACCTTATAAGGAAGTACGATAGAAAGTTTTTTTCAAGTTTTTTCCACCTTTTAGTGCTTTAAAATGGCTAAAACTTACAGAATTTGCAGAGAAATCGCTTTTCAACATGTCGGCCATTATAATTTTGTCCTAGTCCCCTCCCATCCTTGAAAATAAGGAATCCCACAAAAGACACAGGTAGCCCGCGCGAATGTTGGCAATTGTTTGATATGATACTTATTATCATCATCATCACCACCAATAACAGTTGTCATCATCATCATCATCATTGGTTATCATCATCATCATCATCATCATCATCATCATCATTGGTTATCATCATCATCATCACCATCATCATCATCATCATCATTGGTTATCATCATCATCATCATCGGTTATCATCATCATCATCACCATCATCATCATCGGTTTTCATCATTATCTTCATTTTATCATCACTTATAGTTGTTAGTATTTTCATCTTTACATCTGACATTTTTTATCATTATTGTGATCATGCATCATTGCTGCTTGCTATCTTAATCATCATCTGCCATTAAATAGTCAATGTGCCGCGACGCCATTTTGTGCAGCAAAGCATGCCGGTAGTTGTAGTATTCGTACTTATCTAAGACCCTGGTTATCATCATCATCATCACCATCATCATCATCGGTTTTCATCATTATCTTCATTTTATCATCACTTATAGTTGTTAGTATTTTCATCTTTACATCTGACATTTTTTATCATTATTGTGATCATGCATCATTGCTGCTTGCTATCTTAATCATCATCTGCCATTAAATAGTCAATGTGCCGCGACGCCATTTTGTGCAGCAAAGCATGCCGGTAGTTGTAGTATTCGTACTTATCTAAGACCCTGAAATATCTCACTAAGAGCCGTTTTTACATTTTCTCAGTAGAAACTGTTAAACTGCTTCTATTTTTGCTTAGAAAAAGCAAAACCTGCTTTTAAGAGGACTGTTGCAGCGGACATAAAAAAGGACGAGGACTACAACTACCATCATGCTTCAGTGTCGCATAAAATGGCTTCGCTGCACATTGCCTATTAGTAAAAAGTCCAATAGTCTCCTTCACGGTCACCTGCGCCATGTTGAAAGGAAGCCGTGCCTTTACATCGAAAGACTGTTGAGCGTGCAATGATAGAAACCTTCTTTCACGCCTACAGACAATAGGCGATTTGCATTATGGCGTCATTTACTACAGCTACCAGAATGCTTTGCCCACTTTCTTTTGTAATGCAATTAGTGCCAATTGTTTTACTAATCGCTAAGGGGATTAAAAATCTGAATAACAAAGAAAATGTGCAAGGCTTTCTGGTAGTTGTAGTAAAGTTACGCCATCATGCAAATGGCCTATTAATCACAGGTTTCTATCATTGCACGCTCAACGGTTGTCTCGCTTCGATGTAAAGGCACGGTTACCTTTCAAGATGGCGCAGGGAACCGTGAAGGCGACTATTTCAATGTTAATTTTGGGTTCCCGTTGATGATCAATCGTCATTGAATGAATTCCTATTCATCTACCAGAACCATTATCATTATAATTGGACATTACTTGAATTACTTATCGACCAGTATTTGTTAAAAAAACAAGTATAATTATATTATGTGTTATTGTTAGGTTCTTGGTATTTACACGTTCACCAAGAGGTGTGTAGTGGAAGAGTTTGAAACAAAACAACGAAAGACGCAGGTATTTTTTATAGAGTCCACGTCACATAAGCATGAAACAATTCTTAATATGTATTGCTAAATAAGATTTAGTTATCAGCTAACTAAGGATTCAGCAAAGGATAAACACAATGCCAATTATTCAAATCCTTTGTAGCATTGTTCTCAATTCTTAGTTAGTTGATAACTAAATCTTATTTAGCACTACATARTTAAGAATTGTTTCATGCTTATGTGACTTGCACTCTAGGCCTTCTTGATGCTCCGATATTTCATTCTGTTATTTCTTTTACAATAATTATTTACTATAGTAATTGTTTGTTTTTATCAGGCATATTGTACTGTAAGTCACTTCAATGTGGTTCATTATGACTGTCACATGGCTGCCGTCAGGTATATAATAACATTAATTTACTTGATAAATGAACCAAGCAACTCGCATACCTTAGATTGCACACCTCAATTAGCGTGAAAAAATTCTTGATAATCAACAACTTATCTTTTTAGGCGCTAATTACTTTTAAGTAATTAAAAGAATTGTTTCATGCTTATGTGGCGTGCACTCTAAAACTCATGAAATTTCAAACTATTTCCATTGTCTTCTATATACTCACGGATCTCTTGCATTTGCACGGACTGTTAGTGAATAAAAGAATTTATTACATGGTTTTGAGGCCAACACAGCGCAAAGGCCGTTTTACACGTGCGATTTTTGCTGCCCGATTGTCGCGCGATAATTGTCACTTTGCGCTATCGCACAACTCAAATCGTACGTGTAAACAATCAATGGCCGCGAAGTTGCATCTAAATTTCAAGCATGTCCGAAACTCAGGCTATGGTCACGCGGCAATCGCGCTACAAAAATCACAAGTGTAAACTGGCCTTAAAAGAGATCGCTAAAAGGGTTTATTGTGTAGGTTGGCTCGAAGTCGTGATGAGTGGGAGAGCGCTGCCCTGCAGAATGCCAGTACCAAGTGTAACGGTCTCTTGCCTATCTGGGGTCCTCAGGTGTCAGAATCAGCATTTGCTAGCTGTCTTGCCAGGTACAAACACAGTCTCGCTATTACGGACACCCTCGAGACCGTAATGTCCGAAACAGCGAGAGTCTGTAATAAAGGGAGTTGTTTCCAGTCATTTCTTTGTATTTATCTCCGGGATTCAGTATTTTGCGTCCGTAATACCGAGGTGTCCGTTATAGAGAGGTGTCCGTAAGGCGAAAGTTGACTGTACCACCTTGAAGATTTAACAAGGTCTCTTGTGGCTGATATAATAATAATAACAAACTTTATTTAACTAGGGTAGCTCTATCAACAGTAACGTTTGTCTCCCTAGAGGCCGTACAAGAGAATTAAATATATTTATATGTTTGATTGATGGGATGGTTGTTTGATTGACTGATGGTCAGCTAATTGATTGGTTGGTTGGTTTAATGCTTGATGGATTGATGGATTGATAGTTCAATGGATTGGTTGCTTGCTTTGTTGTTGGTTGGTCGCTATATTGGTTATTGTGCAAATAGATACACTTTAACACCCTAAAAAAATTGGTGAAACTTACTAACGTACAAATCGTCAGTAAGTTGTTTCACCTATATTTTTTACGTTTTTAATTTTATCTTTTTACACAACTGTTTCTTTAGAAACACCRACGCAGCTCACACTAGTTTACCGCTAGTAGCCACCATTATTTGTTTGCTTGGTCAATTGAGAGTTTGACTGATTTGATTGATTGATTTACAGACATAATAGCTACATCCAAGAAAGCACTGGTCACATTGAGCCCAACTATTACTGGGGAATACAYGATCTTCGTCTTCTTCTGCAGCGTTTTGCATTTGAGAAGTCCTTCAGTGACGACACYGGTGGCGGTGGRAAAGAAAGTAACATCCAYTTTATACCGTACAATGTGCACATGATACTCTACGAACTTAACACGTAMGTACCTTGTCCAGGAAAACTATGATAGTGATGAATAAACTCTCTATATCGGACACCAGGAGCTGCATTGATTATGTAATATACATGTATGCGGAGTATGAACAGGAGACTTAAATGGGCAATCGCTTTCAGCTCTCAGTTTTAGAGCCCATTAAGGTCGGACGCAAATATTTTAGATTTCTTATCAAATTCCAATATAAGCAAAAGCATATTTTGCAAAAAACCTCGAGATTAAATATCATTTTTAAGAGAAAATCTAAGTTAAAGTCGTATGCAAATCAGGACAAATCTCTTGCTCATTAAAAGATGCGGTCACKGCAATGATTTTCCAATGATAATATAGTAAAGAAATATAACTATTTTTCAGCACCAGACAGAGAACTCGTGAAGAAAAGAACCTTCAGTCTTTTATGGATGCCTCGTCAGATAAATGGGTTGACGCAGCATACAAGGTCTGTTTGTTTACATTATTCTTGCTCTGTTTTTTAGCTTTTCAATATTTTATTTATCTTTTATTTATTTGTTTGTTTATTGGCATTGTTTTGAACATTGTGGCTTCCCAATAGAGTGGTTTTCATTAACCCGTGAAACAAAGTGTAATAGTCAAAGTGTAATAAAGTGTAATACTTCCCAATAGAGTGGTTTTCATTAACCCGTGAAACAAAGTGTAATAGTCAAAGTGTAATAAAGTGTAATAGCCAAGAAATATAATAGAAAACAAAAGAGACAAAGTATAATAAAGTGTAATACGCTAAAGTGTATTTCACGGGTTAAGGAAAATCACTCTATCGTTAAAAGAACAAGTTCCGGTGTTTGACATTTATACTTGCACGAATTTGTAATAAAACTGGAGTACAAACACTAAAACTGTGCAACATAAATACCACTAAATACCGCTATGTTATGCTGTGTTTTCTAATGTTAGTTRTTGTGTTTGTAGGTTGAGAGTCCATACTATTTCACTCTGCTSTCTCTCTTTGTCTATTCGCTGGAGCAGTGGCTTGAGAATCGACAGACTTTCCTTAGAAGGCTAATCATAACTGCGCATGCTCGAAATATCGCTCCTAGTGGCACCACCACACGGTATGGCACATGATGATKAAGTAATACATGTATATAAAATATGAGCGGGGGACTTCATGGGCATTTAAAACTGCGAGATACACGCGAGTTTTAGAGCCTATAAAGGTCGGACGCGAATATTATATATTGCTTATGAAATTCCAACATAAGCTAAAGCATATTTTGTAAAAAGCTTATAAAAAAATATTTTTAAGAGAAAAGTTAAAGTCGTATGCAAATCAGGACAAATCTCTTGCTCATATAAAGATGCGGTCACGGCAATGGTTTTCCATTGTGTTTACCTTATGAATTATTAATGATTTGATTATATCCGCTATCAATATAAATGATGATGATGAAAAAACCAATGATGATAGATATCAAGGTCAAGTTCATGATTCTTAAGATACTGTTTTGACATCCTTTTCTTGTCTACATGTCAGACTACAAGATGTGTCTGTCAAGGAATATAGTGTCTACAAACCTGCTTTGATCTTCTTTTTCTTCGTCGACCAACTACATCACATGTTCAAGGTATTTGCATATGAGAGAGTTCATAACAAAAGGGGTCTCTGGCGGAAATATCTAGGCGTCAAAAAGACGCAATTTATTCACTCGGTACATCCAAAGGGTCTTAATTCTTTGTCTCCCTTTTGTGCTGTCMATCCTCATATCTTAGTTATTAAACTTTGTACTTTCCTACCCCTCCCTTTTCCGAGTTATCTCCATAGTAGCGTAACCACACGTCCCACCTCTTTCCCCATCTTAAATCACACCTACACTCCTACTTTCCCATCTTACTCCCATGCATTCATTCATTCAGTATTCTTTTGTCCTCAGAGATCATTAAAATCCTCCGACTCTGGCTGGGCTCAAGCGATGGCGGACCATATTCGAAACAGCGATGAAGCTTTGCTTAAGGCTTGTGATAAGGTAATTGTCGCAATAAAGGAACGAAAAATGGTCCCATGTAGATTCTCCTTCATTACGTTCTGGTTCATTGATACTAACAATTTGTCTCTAAATAGCCKCTATTTGTTAGTATTTAGTTTGATTTTATTAGAGTGGTTTTCATAAACCCGTGAAACAAAGTGTAACAATTAGAATGCAATAGATCGTAATAGTCGCGTAGAGACAATAAAAAACAAAAGAGCCAAGTGTAATAGCGATAAATACGCTAAAGTGTGTTTCACGGGTTAATGATACCACTCTAACATGGATTTCCTGCGTTTGCTCTCATTGCATTTTTTTGATTATTTTTCGCCTTTTGACTATAAATCTACTATGGTTTCCTTCTTTTGTTTTTCCAGCTTCTGAAATCCTACCAGAATGATGTTCTTCCTGCCGAGTCTTTCGGGGAATTTTTCGATGTTGCAGGTAAGGTTCAAATATGGTGATTTCTTTGAAATTACTTCACGAAAAGTTGTCTTATCTTCAGTTATTAGAACTCAACTGKTGATTGGCTTTGGATATAAATTGATGTTTGTTTCTTTTGGTSTCAGGTTTACTCAGCGATGTTCAAAACCCCGATGCATTTATATCCGAAGCTCTCGACTCTCTTCCTAAGTGATGAACCTTTAGCTAGATTAGAAAACAGACTCAAAAGGTTATAAGAAGCTGATTTTAATTGGGTCATAAGCATAGATATAAGCACAATGTTACTTGGCAACATAAACTTTAGCATAAGCTCAAGAGAAAAATTAAATAAACTATGTCCTTCTTGCTGGCTTATGTCTTCCGATTCTTTCCGCTTTGGGATGTTGGGTTTAAAAAGAAACTTTTTAGGCAAAGTTTATTGATCAAGTCTCACACCTAAGGTTCGTGCTCCTAATGAACGTATTTCTTTCACTCTTACTTATCATCCTATTAACAGTTCTATCAAGCCTATTATTAATCGTAACTACTTCTTACTCACTTCTGAAACTAACAATTCTCATATCTTTAACGACCGACCCCTCTTCTCTAATAAACGTGATCGTAATCTTCCTTCTTTTCTAGTCAAAGGTGTTTTTCATTTTAATACCGATCCTGCCACTTTCCGTTGCTTACGAAAGCGTTGTAGAGCAAACACAGGAAAACTATGAAATAAAATCAAACTAAATGATTAAAAAAGCGGCTCTTTTGAGACAATTTCTCACTATAAATGAACAAGAACATAATGAAGATGAATCCACATGGGACCATTTTCCATTCACCTTTTTGACGTTTTTGGTGGGCTATAGCCCATGCTTTTTGATCAAAAATCGACCATTTTTTTTTGTAGTCGTAGTCGAGAGCCCAGTAGGATACCAAAACGATTTCTAAGACGCTTACATAACAAAAGTAGAAAGCCAAGATGGGTTGTTTATCATCGAATCTGTCAAAAGAGGTTTATCTTAATTTTGTCTTACATGTAAAATGACATAATAAGATTGTTGTTATTGTCTTGATATTTGTTCATGTTCTTTTAATAATACGAAGTTGGCGTAGACACAGTTATTTTTTTAATTTCTCTAAATGACTTTTAAGTTTGTTTGATATTTGTAAAATTCGAACATCTAAAGACTTTTTCAATTTCATAATGCTGGACAGGATTAAACCCAATACGTGAAGTCTTTAACACACAGTCACGCCAAGGAACTTTATTTTAAGGAAAACTAGTTTCGTCCCAGATTGGACCTTTTCAATTCCTTAAGTTTACAGGAATTGAAAAGGTCCAATCTGGGACGAAACTAGTTTTCCTTAAAATAAAGTTTCTTGGCGTGACTGTGTGTTAAAGACTTCACGTATTGGGTTTAATCCTGTCCAGCATTATGACTTTTAAGTTATTAAAATTGTGATATTTATATTACTGCATATCATGAATTGTCTATCAAACTAGTTACCCATCTTATCAAAAACGAATTATATAGTAAATATATAGCAAACACGCAAGTGTAAACGAGCTTTACCAAATTCACTACTATTTTATCAACAAGAACCCCGAGTTTACGCAGTTATGCGTCTAGTTGATCAAAAATCGACCATTTTTGGCGTTTTTGGTTGGCTATAGCCCATGCATTTTGATCAAAAATCGACCATTTTTGGCGTTTTTGGTGGGCTATAGCCCATGC